GCAAGAAATTGTATATGGCCAATAAAGTGATCTTATCTTATTAACCTGTCACTGGGTCCCAGTGTGCTTTTGGGAATGATTGTTTTTAGAAGTGCCAGTGTCTCAGAGGGACTGGCTTTGTGAGAGAGTGTCCCAGTGGGCCTCCTGAAAGAGGAGACTGGAGCAGAAGTGGCCGAAGGCTCGATAGGAGCCGTGGACCTGATTGACTGAAGCTCCCGTTCTTGCTGGTGCTGTAGTCAGTCAATCTGCAGTGTAACTTCTGACCCCCTTCTGTTTTTCGAAGAGCAAATGAGGAACGTCACAAGGGCGTCTTTCTTCCTCTTGCGTAACATCTCTGTTTACATCCTTACTCTACTTATCCAATGCTGAAATATCGATACACACATTTGTTTTACTGATATGACACTACCATACTTAGTACTGTACTGCTTCCTTAGTGGGGCTTCTTCTGAGGTACTGAATAGACATCAGTGTGTCCGGAAGTCTGTGGCTCCTGTATTTTTAAGAGCTCTCTGCCTCAGCACCTACTGTAAACTGCTCATGTGTTTTCTGTGAAGGACCTTTGACCTGCTCCAATGCCCACGCCCTCCCCGCTGCATCAGCCAATAAGAAAGGCATGTTCACAGATGAGCTGCACAAGCTGGTGGATGATTGGACGAAAGAGACTGTGGGCAACGCCCTCACAAAGCCCAGCCTCAATCAGATCAAACAGATCCAGCAGAAGCAGGAGATTGGTGTCTGGAACCAGCCGTCTGAGGTACAGTACACAGCCTCGGGTCCTGTCCAATACTGCAATACTGCACTCGCACACAGATTCACAGATTAGGTGATGATACATCGTACAGAAGGCCTCCTAATGCAATTAAACATTTGGTACAGCACATCACAATACAACAGTGTCTTCCTCTTACCCTTTATTTTTCATAATTTTTAAAAGTACGAAAAATATTAACACTATCTATGTGCATTTACACGTGGTACTAATTTTGTAAATATGCAAAATTACAGACATACAGCTTTGCATGACACTGTTTAAAAGCTGTTTAAAATAAATCTCAGCCCAGGCTCTGGTATCTTCAGATACCTCGGCTTGAGAGAATTAAAATTAAATTTAAAAGCACAATTACTGGCGGGGAGCCCTGATGTTGCTTTTCTCTTCCTCATTCTGCTTCGGTCCCTGACACCTGATTTGCCCTCCGTGTTTCAGAGTTCTGGTTCCGGGTGGTTCCCCGCTGGGCCCGCGGGTCACAGCTGCGGCATGGGTATCCCAGCAGCGCCTGTTCCTCCTGCCGTGACGCCGTTGCCCCCTCTGGCCGCCCCCTTCCCGGCAGCCCCTGGGTTCGGGCCCCCCCCCGCACACCTGTGCC